TATTTTCGTCTTTACACCACGATCCGCCAACTTTGCTGCCTGAGCTGTACAGTCCTTATTAAACTAATGTGAATCTGCCCCGCTGTACTGCCAGTCAATTGACTGCCAGAGGTACACATACCACCGCCGTTAACCCGACCGGTGGCTGATTGATAATCTTTTTGTGCTAATGTACGAAATGGAGCTATATAAGAGAGTATTTTCGTCTTTACACCACGATCCGCCAACTTTGCTGCCTGAGCTGTACAGTCCTTATTAAACTAATGTGAATCTGCCCCGCTGTACTGCCAGTCAATTGACTGCCAGAGGTACACACTACGCACAGCAAACGGCACCTACTCGGTGGCTGATTGATAATCTTTTTCCCACACACATCTCTGCAAGCTCGGCCTCTTTCTAACACGTATCGGCGATTTGCTCCTGATTTGCGTTGATTATGAAAATGCTATTATTTATTAGGCTTTTGCAATATTTTTAAAGAAAAAAATTGAAGTGAAATTCTAAAGCCGCCTGGAGAAACTTCAAAGCAACTGCTCCACCTCAACCGGCTGGTAAAAAATATCTGACGTTGCCCGATGACGGGCGACCAAAAGGCTGGTGTACGCCCGTGAGGATTTTATTATTATTGTGAGGACTCACGCTCAAGTCTACATAATAGGACAGATCTAGCGACCCGAGAACTGACAAGTATTGAGTTTAAAACAAACAAACAAACCCTGCGTCTACAGAGTCATTGACACATAACATAGCATAGCTTCTTTCAATCTGAATTTACGTAAAGTATAGGAGGGGCTCTATTCTTACAGCCCCATTGAGACCTAAGCCAAGCTCATTGACTCTGTCTTTATCCTTAATATAATAAGAGATAAGAGAAATGGTGGGAACAACACCTGTCCTCCACTACATTCAGAGGCAAACATTCAGGTGGTTTGAACATCTGACACGTATGGCACCTCACCAGCTTGCTAGTAAAACGTACAACAAAAGAATATCAGGGTACAAGGCAAGAGGAATACCAAGGAAAACCTGGATCGGGGGATGCGAAAGGTTTCCCTGGAAGGCCCCAAAACTTTCCACCCAAGCCAGGCCCACCCATTTTTCCCAGAGACCCGAAAAGATCCTTTTCCCTTGGACCCTCGACCCCCCAAGACGGTAGAAGAGGAAGGATAAGTAAGTAAGTATAGCTAGCTATATGTAATTGGTTGCTACTTGTCCCCCCCCCCCCCCCGCATGACAATCGCTCAAGACAGAGCAAGATGAGATAGGACTAGGCACAGTTCGTCTCTACTCTCTACTAGTCTACCACTTGTTAAAAAGGTAATCGGTGCTATCCCATTAAACCGCCAGCCCCGCTGTGCCACCGAAGTCATAATCATTCCAAGGGAAACCTGGTTTGACTGTACACAACGACAAAAAAGGTGTATAACATTCTTTTCAATCAATGTCTCTTTGAATTCGAGCTTCTCGACGTTCCCTTTACCCCTGAGGTCATCAGCAAAGTGTGTACACTCACCTTATTTAACGCCCATGTCCGACTAAACAACCCGATTTACTCGTAAATCTTTCAATGAAAACGGATGGAAACAGAATTAAACCTTAGGTGTTAAAATTGTTTGTAGGCCTACATATATTTCAGTTTTGAGCAAGCAGTACTCTAATCCTAAAGTGTACTTTCAAAACGGTTGTTGTGTTAAGTGGAGTGAAATTAAAGATTAGGTAAACATTGAAATACCATATTATTATTTTTTTATGTCGCCTCTACTTTCTCAAATCTTTTATTTCAATTACTAAATTCATTTCCACATTCGGTGTTAAGGCTTATCTTTATAGATGATTTATTAAAGGAGCATATCGAAAGCAGTTTTCAGTTTATTATTTTTATTGATAGATAGTGATCTGAAAATGGGCTTCACGCAAAAAAAGATATTACCTTCACAGTAGGCCATTATAGGTCAACCGGATAATACTAGTTTCTGCTAGAATACAAACAAAGAAATGTTTGCTCTCCTTAGAACTCAAATGATACCCGACCCCATTCAGTTTGGTTCGCTGTCTTCCGTTAGTGTTTATTCGTTGCTTGGAAATCATTATTCTAGACACTATTAGTTGCACATTCACATCTAAATGAAGTATTGTAACAGTGCTTATTACTATTAGCATCTTCTATTATCTGGTCATCTGGGGGTACAATTTTCTACAATATCTTTCATCTGATTTGCTTTTTGAATAAATACGAATTCAGTGTGGCATTTTGTCTCCATATTTCTCACCTCACGAAAGTTCCCCTTCCCATCCTCACCTCTTCTCCTTCTTCATCCTCTTCTCCTTCTTCTTCCTCTTCTTTTTTCTTCTTCTTCTTCTTCTTCTTCTTCTTCTTCTTCTTCTTCTTCTTCTTCTTCTTCTTCTTCTTCTTCTTCT